TGCTGAAAACAGAATGATCTCAGTTAGCAGGAGTGTCAGAGGGTTAGGGTTGTGATCCTACATAAACATGTTATGATGCCATTATTGTAGCAATAATATGTGTGGAGGGTTGTCTATCTGTATCTCAATTCGTGATTATGCACACTCCGATTGCTACAATAGTGGCCCATCTGTAGCTTGGAATTTTTTTAACTCAGCTGTCTGTACAGGTGATCTGATTTCAAATATGCTAAATTGTCTCAGCAATATGTTGCATATTGTCCACAGGGGGGAGCTGATGTGTCTCTGAGCCCAGCTCTACACATAAAACCTTCACTCAGTCACCTGTAAGATAGGAAGGTTTTAGTGCTTCTCAAATGGGGGTCCATGAAAAGTTTCCAGATTCACCCATTTACATTACCAGGATATATGGGTGTTCTGTGTTGACATTGTAAAAAGGTTTTCGATTCATATCAAATATCTTTCTAATACCTTTATCATGGGTTGTTCTAAAAAAATGTCAGTGTCAATTTTTTTTTCAAGAGACATATATGATGCAGTCCCCACAATGTTTTCTATCTTGCATGGGCTCGTTAGCTGTCCTATAAAAAAACTAAAGCTCTTTTGAGAAAGAGAACAAGAAGACTAAGAAAAGATTCTAAAAACTGCACCTTCACACAGAAGTACAGTATACAACAATTCTAGCAGAAGAGAAGAGGTCATTGATGTTATAACCCTGCCACTGGGACCCTCTTCTGAAAGAAAAAGGTTAAAAAATAAAGACTGAACTACTACTGCTGCTGCTGCTACCAAAACTGTTCTATTGAGATTTTTTGTGGACCTGCAAGAAAATGTGAAGCTGCTTTACTGGCACATTGTAAGAATCACTGGCCCTCAGCTACAAATCAGATATTTAAACTTGTGTGAGACAGAGGACATCCTTTCAGCATTATGGTTCTAAAACCCTTGTTCAATAGTATTTGTAGCATTTGTTTACCTGGTCAAAGTAACTGTGGACTTCTGTGAGTGCGTCTGTAACTGGGAGGTTGAGGAACTGGGCAAAGTCGTCTAAACTCAGCAGCTCCCCCTGCAGCTTCTTCGCTCTTTTAGGCTGCTCATCTAGCAGCTTGTCTCTGGTTCGTCCTCTCAGCCTGTTGGTGTTTAAAAAAGTAGAGCACAAACAGTTATATAGAAATCACAATGCAACAATGTGAAGTTGACCACATGTGATACGTGTATGGAAACATGATTTGCCTGCGTAAACACAATATCCAAACAATTACAGCAAATACTGTAAATGTCTAATAAGACAAAGTGTGATTCATTCTCGCATGAACACAGCTATGCTATCATTCGTTCTGCATACTTTACATTTTGCCAAAACCCTTAGTTTTTGATAACTCCGCTGGAACTAAAATAAATGTCCTTCACTATTTATGAGCTGAAATGAGAAAAACACATGTGAGATTATCTTGTCACTCATTTACCAACTCTATCTTCTCCTTGCCTTCTCACCAAATAATCATATTTGTTCACAGATGTTTGATATTTTATAATTTATTCAATATACATAACAAAAACTGTATTACAGACGACAAATATCTACGTCAAATGTTTTATTTAATAAACATTTGTTCTTGGTAAAGCATTTGTGCTATATAACACCAAACCTTTCCTCATTTCATTTGAACTTATTGACTGATATTAGTCTTATGAGGAAAAAATTGCCCTGTGTTTATAATCCTCCCACAATTAGGTGTCAGTGTTCCTTCACCGTCACACCACTTAAAGTCTTGATTAATTGTCACCCATCCCTTCACACGGTCCAACCAGTCAATCCAGTCTCCCTTCACTCACCCCAAGCGACAAACCAGCTGGTTAAACTCCAGTAGGCTGCTGTAGTCATGAATGCACAGCGGGCCCTGGGATAGGCTGATCTCACGATCATCGAATGACAGGTCTGTGAGTGGCAGCTCCAGCGCCCTATTGGGAGGGAGGGAACAGTGTGCGTGTGAGGACCAACTTTTTTCAGATATTGATTGTTATGCAAACACACACACACACACACACACACACACACACACTTACTTGGCCATGAGCTTTCTGACATTATTGGCAAACAAGGCCGGGTTTTCCTTCTCCTCGTTTGATGGAGTGTAAATAGGCAAATACTAAGGAGACATAACATCAACTTAATCATGTTGCCCTGTAATGAAACTGTCTTCTCATCTGCTGTGTAATTAACATGTAGCTACACATATCATATTGACTATATATAGCTAGTATCTTTAATTTCAAATTAATATTTCTTCAATCTGACTTACTGAACCACTCACCTCGATCTCCAAAGGATTATGAGGCTGACACAGAGTGAGCCATAGGATCTTGAACCTGGAAGATACAAGAGTTGGATTTGTCTTTATATTCAAAGAGAAAAATGGTATGAAGTGACGGGACTGAACAGATTGTACTGGAGATAATAAGTCCCCCTACGGCATACACAGGACACAGGTGTTGTAACTACATACTTAGCAGAAGCCAGTGGAAGCTGCATGTGTGTGCATGTGTTGTGTATGGAGCATGTAAGTGTGTAAGTCTGTAAAAGAAAAGAACACTTACGCTCCGGGACCTTGCCATGTCCATGTCACAGAATCCTGTGGAGAGAAAAAATGGTTCAGGATAAACATGGTTTTGTCAACTCCCTGACACTGAGCAAAAGACACAGTCAATATACTGTGTATATATATATATATATAATATGTATATATATATCTATATACATTTATATATAGAAACACATAATTACTGCTCATTAGTGCCTAAATACTGTGATTCTCATAGTTTTGGACTAGTTCCTGACTTCTTAACTGGTGCCCACCTCTCAGATTCTGTGATTCATGATTCAAGTGAAACATAATGACGTGTGACAGAGACCGTTCACTTTTTGAATAGTTCTGGTTCTTGAAGTAAATGTTGTTTTCTTTATTTTAGAAAATCATGTTTGACCAGACAGTAGAATATGCAATAAATTGTCTCTATGATTATTTAAGAGGAACGTGATCTGCTGTTAAATCTCCCCTTTGGAAAATGAGAACAAACATTTAATGGTTATAGTTACTACTGTAATCTCTGATCAAAGGTCAAAGAACTGAGACCTGTAGCTGGTCTTAAATTGCTGTGGCTCAATTACTGCGGGTCACTATTACAGTCCCAGGAAAGAGCATCACCACAGGCCAAACAAAACAGCCTATTCCAATCAGGCAGGCTTAGAACTGCCACTGCTCCGGTAAATAACAAGGCAAAAAAAGATCAGCAGCATTAAAATCCCCTGAAGCTTGAATTCGACAATGATCAATTTGCTTGGACTAAGAAAACCAAGCAGCATGTGTGAGCACAGTTGTGGTAAAGCAGCACACAGATGAATCTGACACTGTTCAGATAACATCACATTTACAACAGGCACATGCAAGACATCTGGCTGCTTTCAGCTTCTCTTCACGCTCTCTGCTGTTGAACAGTCACAGAGGTGGTAGCAGCTAACTCCCTTTTCATTTGGCTCAGTAACAATCAGTATCTTGTTTAGTTTTTTCACATTTAGTGGCTGGTTGCAGCTTGTTCACTGTTCCATTTCTATCTGCAGACGGCCATTAGTTGCACGGTAGTTTGAGGAGCAGATGGAAACATGGAATGGAAACATGTCTGGTGGTGAGGAAATAAAAGATTCTGGAGAGGAAAGTACAAACTGAGGACAAGTCGCTCTGTCAGAGCATTGAATTCATGTTTCCTTCACTTAACTGCCTTGTCGTGCCACGTTGTCACTCTAGTTAGCACAGTGGCTAAACTCAGTACAAGGGGAAACAGTGACAAAAGCTTTCTAGGGAAACAAAGAAAAACTAGGTAAAAGGAGCTACATAATTCATGAGGGAGCGAGGAGAAGTGCAGAGAGAGAGACATGACACCAGCGTGTGTGTGTGAGAGAGAGAGAGAGAGGAGAATGAAATATCATCCACCTGAACATGAAGTCATTCAACACAAGAGAAACACACACTAAAGTGTGGGAAAGAAACCATTACATCACAGGTGTGGATCAGTCTGTACGTGTGTGTACACCGTGTGGGGGTGGGTGGGGGGGTAGGATGAGTCAGGCTAAACTTCAACTATGTCCAAGGTCACTGGTGTCACCGTGACGACCAGAGAGTGAAACAAGGAAGGGGAGGACTGAACGTCGGGTTTTTACCAGTTTGTTTGGGTAGCGCAGCACCACTGGTTGCACTGGGAGTCCAGGAATAAAAGCACCTGACAGACACAAGAGAGGAGGAAGACGTTAGCAGAGAAAAAGAAAATGTCAACTGTATAAACTCCCCAAAAAACCTGAGCCACATTACTATCTTATTCCTGTAAATATACTGAGTTAAAAAGCCTGAATTATATTGTCTTACTACACTAAACAGAAACATGTATTATTAACAAGGCCGGCTCCTTTAATCACACAGATGTATTGTTTCTTTTTTCCCCCACACATTTACGTGCCCCACACACAACAGAAGTATCCACTGGCTCTAACTGACTTGAGTGGCTTGTCCTGGCTCACAACCTCAGGCTAACCTCCAGCCCTCGCAGACAACGTCTCTATTCAAAGTCTATAATGTCCTGCTGACGACAGACGAGCCCATAGAGGATTCATACACTATTTATTACAGGACAAAGCCCTATTGAAGCCGCTGTGTGAGCGTTGAATAGATTAGAATGGGATCTTTTTATGTTACTAATGAGATTAAGGCTTAAACCTTATAAGGTCAATTGATTTTTTTTGGGCCACCCAGGTGCGAAGCAGGTGGGAGAAGTTTTAAAGACGACTGTGCTACTGTGTTAGCGAATAGTATTCACACACCCAGCAGACGCAGAGCAACATTAGCTTTGATTTGAAGTCTAGTCAGTGGTCACCTGTTGGGTGTCCAACATTCAATTATTGGACATTTTAACACCCCAAAGTCTGGAGTAGACAATGTTCCCAACCAAGGTACATGTCTTACATTGCTTACATTTGATTTGGTTAGTCGTGGTTGTACATTGCAAATTAGGGAGCAGACCTTTTATACATACATGTCGTCATCACCTGCGTGGGCTGCATCTACCTATACTTGACATTGATTGGGCGATGGAAGTGCATTTGACGTCAGCTTGTTGTCAATTTTAAAAACTGAAAGTCTTTCTGTTGTGAAAAACCGATAATCTGGTTAATTTCATTGTAACAATATGAATATTACTACCAGCATCACCAACTTCAGGTGCAGCACTCGACACTAGTTTGAATGCACCAAATTAAAGTCCCTTTAGGGAGCCGATGGGCCACTTCGATCTGGACCTAGACCACCTCTTTCTGGTCGGACTACATTTTGGTCTGAGCTTACTCCGTGAGAATGGCTGCTGCTGATAACAGAGCTGATGAGCACACTGAGCAAAAACAGTGAAGGTGTGGACCATAAAACCAAAGCTATGAGCTGAGCGATGCTAAAATGTTGTGCAGAGCTATGAAGACAGCAGAGTTGGGCTATATTTTTTATATCTCTCCTCCAAGCCATTATCTCTTGCATCACTCCATTGTGCATACTGGAACTTCAACTGGTGTAGGCCAAATATATTCTTTCAGCTTTTGTTATCATTCTGAATATTTTCACTGGGATAAAACTTAACCACCACATCAGACCACATCCTCTCGTTGAATCAGATAAAAAATAAAGTGAAGCAAATTAACGTTAAATCTGAGGAGCTGTAATTAATAAGGAACAAGTGAATAAAATAGTACCCGCCCCGGCGGCCCCGCATATTACTCTGGCCCCGCATGAGACTATGAAAGAACATGAAGGAGCATTAGAGTGAATACATAGAGGGGACAGACAGTGAGAGAGGGACGGGGATGAAAGTGACTGCTCTATTTAAATGAGAAAAGGACTGGAGGTGTTTGTCAATGACGTCATGCACAGGTGGTCCCATGCACGTTGGACTCACACACTCCCTCTCTCTCTCTGTTGTGCCTGGAGCCAGTGAAATGACATAACCAGAGGAGACACATTCAGAGAGCACTGGCACCACACAACAGACAGATCAAGCTGGACAAACATACACACCCAAAGCAGTGCAGTGTGGGACCAACAGGGCTTACTGGGAATGACAGAGTTACAGACTGGAAGAAAGGGGATTATGGCAGGCAGGAGAACAATGCCTCACACCACACACCACACACAGAGGAGGTGAGTGAAAAAGAAGCACAAAAAGACGGGTGCAACATTTGGCGTCCCATTGAGGTGTCCTCTAGCGAGACGCTGAACCTCCACACCGGTTGGGCAAAGTCGAAAATTAATTTGGCCAGACATCTACACCTGGACTTGGCAGCTCTGCAGCCGACTCCATGCATTAGTAATAAGTTACAAGTCCAGGCTCACTAAATGAAATGAATGCTCAACAAAGTGATCCCACACAGTCGCTTTATATAGACACAGACACAGCCCTGAAGAACCACAGCCAAATACTGCTTCGAGCTGTGGTTTGCACCTTGTGTCTACTGCTCTGGAGGATAATTACACTCTTTTTCATCTTCAGGTTATGACAACTGTAGCCACAAGACAAATGTTGCTGTTTTGTAACACAAACTGACAAAAAAAATCATAGCCTCAAAACTGTGCTATTGAAGGGGTGCATTATTGTGCATGTGTTAATCATTCCTCATCTGTGAATATATATAAGACAATGATTCTGGAGTTACAATATGTGTGGGTAAAACACGGTCGACACCATGTCAGCACAGGAAGTGTATCATGAGCAGCAGCAGCTTCAGCACATCATCTGCATGCATGAAGACACAGTATTGAGTGTGGGTCACCCACATTTCCACTCAGAGATCAGTTGTGAGTCATTCTGTGTAGACAGCAGACAGCTGGGTTGAGAAGCTCATCAGATGCATGTGACTAAACAAGAGGGATGACACACACTGTGCGGACACGCTAGAATCTACTGTCGTGCTAGCAGCTCTGTGACACTGTGCAGATGCAAGGCGACGCTTTGAGCTAAATGTTGACAGTGTGTTGACAAATGCTGATAGTGACAGATACGACTCTATGATGTTAAGCAAGTATAACATTGACCATAATCCCCCACTTAGTTTAGCCACATGTTAGAATGCAAACATGAGGGACGTTACAAAAATGGATTAAAAATGCATGTGAACTGAAAGATGGAGTGAGGGATCTCAATCATTTGAAGCTGATTTGATTCAAACAGTTGTGAGGTGATGACAATGCACATGAATTATAAAATGTAGAGATTTGTTGTCATTTGATTTGATGAACTTATAAATCTTAGAGATTAGGTTATGTTTTCAGTCTAAAAGAAAGGTATCATTATGGAAAATGGATGAGCAGGAAGATTAAGCACAGCGTATTCCTCAGGGTGATGTACCTACAGGGAAATATGACCCAGCTCTGCCGCTCCCTTGCATTCATGGAGCTTGATTCAGCTGCAGCTCAGCTTTTACGGTTCACCCCCCAACTCTGGATTTTTAAAGAAACAACTATTTGCTAACTAGTTCATCATAACACCTCAGTGATGATATATCAATGTTATCATCATTGTATATATCTATAGAAAGTTTGAACTTGTAGCGTTCATTTATTTGGTTTTTGGGCTTTGTTTTTAGCCATTACTCATGTTATTCTTACCATTCATTTTATTCTATGCCATTACTTTGAATGACATGTTTTTTTATTTGTTGTCTTAGACTTTAGATTTTGTAGCGTATCATTTGCTGCCTTTGGTTTTAAATTGAATTGTGTAATTGTGTCCTTGTTTTCTTGTTTTCATTTGTCATCTTTGTGAAGCACTTAACAGCTATTTTGAAAGTTGCTTTATAAATATACACATACCGTCATGTCTCAACTTCTTCAGAAGACATTACACTAAGATTTATTTCCCTTGTATTTGATTTAACATTAACCATAACTACAACTTGTCAAACCTTCACCCAACTTTAATCTCTCATAGCTGGATCCATCTCCACCCATTACAATTCTCCTACAGGAAGAGAAAAAACACTCTGGCTTCTTTGTATTTCTGTAACATATCCCAGTCGTTCTGGCCCACTGTCGACGAAAGGAACAAATCGTTGTTGAAACTTTAGCCATTTCTGTTGTGTAGGTTACTGAGAGGTTGCTATTGTTGTGTCCCATAGTGAAGAGGATGTTATTCTCACAAAAAACCTAGACCTAACCTTACCCTAACTCACTTTCACTGTGTGAACAGCTTTAGGCTCCAACAACATGAGTAACACCTGGAAAAGACAGAGGGGGTGAGGGGTCTGAACACATACCAGCCTTGAATAAGATAAGACCCGACCTGTTGGTGCACGTCCCCTCTGGAAATATCATGATCTGGAACAAACAAATACATATTAAAGTGAGCGTAGGTGTGCGTGTGCGTGTGTGTTGTGTGTCATTACTGTGTGTGAACATTCATATTCATATACCTGAGGCCACTCCCCTCCAGACTGTGCTCTCCGCTTAATTTCCTCTACAGTTTTTTTCCTGGAGTCCTGGTCGGACCGAAACACGAACACTGGCCTGATGTAGCTGATCAGAGCTGGTGGGGAGATGATGAAGAGGCAGATTTAAGATGCGTGTCAGAACAAGGGTGAAGTTAAGTTCATCCTCAATTTGAGAATTTGAACTGGAAGGAAAGCATTGATTAATCATTCCCTGGACTGACATTTATTGATTCATTTTAGCGTCATGTTGAGAGGATTTTGAGAATTGATTATCAACATTTGACTTTAAAAAATGAACATGCAACCAATTTCCAAATGGAAGCTACAGTAGACGAGAGGAGACCATAGAGAAGCATGTGGAGCAGTAAGGGAGTCAGTGAGGTGTTGTATGATATAATGTTCGATTAGTACCAAAACATATACCCATATTTACACACATTTGAACACTGGAAGCCTCAATGCTTCCAAACATGAACATGTCCTGCTGCAGGGAGACACTGCTCACTGGAGTTTACAGTAAACATGGTGGTTTTTAGACTAGGAAAAGCTCAAATACTGTTCCAGTGATATACATTTTAAATTTCATTTATAGCTACTGTAAATGTTTCTATTACAGTTTCAGATTTTAATTAATTTTTAAAACTCAGAATAATGACTTTTTAACATTTTAATTGTGACTATTGTATTTAATTGTCTGTATGTTAAGTGGTTTGACTGATTTTCAATTTTCGTACAGACCAACTCACTGAACACACAAAACACACAGGACTCGTTTATACAGGTAGTGACAGCGCTTGAGTTTTTTACAGCAGCATCATATTTAAATGCAGTTAATTATCACAGAAAAATGCATCCACATCTGTTTATTCAGGGACACATGCAATGATCATTTTGAGGCTGTCCTGAAATCATATCTACACCCACGTGCAACATATGGTGCCTGAATGCACTGTATGGTTCAGTGAGCAATTAACTTATTTAGAAAACCTTGATGAAAAACAGGAAACTGTTATTCAGTATAATAGATTTGTATATATATGTAAAAAAGCCAGATCATTCAATTTATAACTAAACAACTTCAACATGTGAATTTATTCATTTAATATACTACAGTGACTCAGATGTTAATTACGAGGAGGCAAAAATGTCTTTTTTCTTTATTTTTCATTCAATGAAACCTGCTGTAGGTCATTAAGGCACATCAACTGCTCTGTTCATTTCTTTTCAGTAAACCCATTGATGGAAATATGCTGAACTCACTGCCCCAGATGGGAATGCTCCCGCTCTCCAGTTTTGCGACGATGGAGCACATGGTCATGGTGACGGGGATGGCATCGAAGTAGGACGAGTGCGGCGCCACGGTGAGGATGGGAACTTCGGAGGGTGCTGCCCGTTCCCCTTTTACCTTGATCCAGTGGAACCCTCCGCAAAACCACATGGCTCGCATGATCACTCGTAAACAAAGATCTATAAACCTGGGACAGTCGATGCAGAGATTAGCATTTTCAAACCTCAGCAGACACAAGAATAATTTTCAGTGGACGCTAATAAACAGTAGATAATCCTGTAGTTGTCAAAAGGCTTGTTTGCTCAGCTCCGCTTGACAGAACAGTGTCGTGTAATGCCCTTTAGTCTTAGTATCATTCAAGCTCACTTTGTCTTTCTATAGTTTTGAGGACACAATGTATACTGCATTGCCCCTTACCCTTACTCTAACCTGAACTTTCAAATGTCTCAACCATCTAACAGCCCTTTGAAGAAGCTCCTCAAACCAAACTCTTTCTCCACACACACACCTCCTCCACCATGGCTGAGGCTCCATGACAAACTCAGAGCGTCCCAGGGAGGCTGTGAAGGCGAAGGGCCACGCCAACAGCATGAAGAAGGACACCAGCAGCAGCCGCACGGGAAACACTGTGACCGACATCAGTCCGATCTGAAGGAGACAGAGGACGAGAAAGAGGATGTGTGTGTGGGTATGTGAAAAAAGGTAAAAATAATACACGATATACATAGTCACATTAGTACATTCTGCAATTTCAAATGTACACATACTGTACATACTGTACATTCCTATACAAAAAAAGGTTTCCTGCACATCCTACAGGGTCTAGAGGACTTAACACACACAACAGTCCAACTCTCACACACACACTCAGACACACAGAAAGTTTAGTCATGTTCAGTCACGTTCTAATCACACTTTCCTGGTAAGAAACCCCAGCGCTTACAGGCTTATATGTCTGACATCTACTTGTTTATATAATAACAAGATACCTACTAATTGCACATATTGATGATTTATATTTGGAATGTAGAAAGTGCAGTCAGTCAAACATGGGTGCATGAATAGATTCTGCATGTTAGAATATGTAGAATATGTAGGCAAACTAGTTTCTAAAAGGTGTACGACTTGTTATCCACTGTCTAAACTCACAGACACAAAATATTGTCTAGTTCCCCCAAAGGGCAATTCCTCCCCAGATAACTGCAGATGGGCTCAGAGATTGTCTCTAAACCATCTGCGAAAAAGTCCGAAACTATGTCTCCTCTCAGACAAAGCTCGTCGTAGGATGGAGTGTTAGGATTCTTTCTTCGAAATATGTATTACTTGTGAAACCTACACTAAAGTAGAACTTAACAAGGTGCTCCACATTCCTCATTTTAACAAAGGTGACTGATCCTCTGATATTACCAGTCAAAAATGACAAGCAGCCGAAAAATTAAGACTTGATTCTTATTAAATTATGACTTTATTCCCCAAATCTCAAATTGTGTCCCTTTAAGTTTATCCTAAAACTCTGTCTTACTCTTGCAATGCATTTCTAGTGGCAATTTATATTTGCTGAAAAAAGCTGGCCTTTTGTGATCATAAAAACATAAGATCTTTTGTTTATGGGGTAATGCCAGTGAGATCTCACTGTAAGGCAGGAAATACAGGAAGTTAAGGCAACTCTGCAAGTAGCACATGTGGCTGACTTCATCCTCTGGTCATGAGGTTTAAGTCTTGTCACTGAAATAAAGTTTACTGAAGCCACACACAAGACCTGTCATGGCTTTTCTATTACTGCGTAATGAGAGAGATGTGCTGTGTGTGTGTGTGTGTGTGTGTGTGTTCTAAAAGTGTCAAAATGTCATGGCCTGCAGTGTAAATTCGGACTGTGTGACATTTAAAGCTCCTTCCTCCTCCATGTCCGAGCCCCCACTCAATCTCTCTTTTATATTCTCTCTCTCTCGTTCCACTCTCATCAGCCTCCCCGTCTGCTTTACAGTAATCTGTGGTCCCAGGGGAATCCCTCTCCTCAATCCATCCATCCATCCATCAATCTCTCACTCCCTGTGTCTATTTGCTTAGGTGCACCTTCATTTATCATGCTGCTCACCCTTCAACTGCATTCCTCCTACTTTGCATTGATGTGCTTTCTGTCATCACTCTGGGGAATCATATCTAACCCCCTCCTCCTTCTTCCTGTCCTGTCTTCCCTTTCTTCATGTGCATCTCTCTCCCTGGATGAGCCCAGGTGCACACAGCAGGCCTGTATTAATAAATAAGCAGTAATGGGGTTGATTTATGACGCCCCTCCCTGCCCCCCCACTCCGCCTGACGCGCAGCGCACTCATCACCAGAGCTTAACGAATCCATCTGGGAAGATGTGCTGACATTTTCTCGGGAGGCGGCATGAGAATGAGCTGGGGCGGGGTGGAAGCGAGCAGTTTCCAGTGTTTTATGAGAGTAGCAGCCCCTTCCACAGCTGATGATTTGAATTTTTGCGATAGAAAATACACTTCAGTAAGCTGGGCTCACTCATATCACATATCCTCACTCCAATATAAAAGCCACTCAAAGGTTTTAAGGCAATATACTGTTACTGTGCTCCTTAGTGTTGAGAACAACAGTGGTAAAGGGGCCCTGCGTCACTTTGACACATGAAGATAATTTGACTTGTCATGAGGAACTCTGCTCAGTTTGTAAATAAAAGTTTCATTTTGTTCATCTGTGGCTCTAATGAGAGTTTTTTTCAATTGTGAGTAATGATGGCAGCTTCTCAAAACTGAGCGGAGGTAGATTTTTTTCCATTGTTTATATTTCATTTACTTTGGATCTCCATTGAATTCAGGGAAATAGAAACGCAAAAAGACAAATATCCTGTTGTATTATCCTAATGAGTGTGTAGACAAAAGAGAAGCAAATGTCTTTTGACCTGAGGGGAAGATTTTAATGGTGGCCTCTCTGCAGTGTGTTAAATATTCAAGAGACTCTGGGAAACCACGATGTTCCCATTGTCTCTTCACACACAAACACACACACCTTCTGTGTGTACGTATGGCATCCATAAAGCTGTCAGAGGCCATTAAGGCATCATCCACAGCACTTCCATTGTCTACAGACAAACACACACACACACACACACAAACACACACACACACACCAGTCAGTCAGTCAGTCAGCTGGACTCTAATGCACACATATACACACAAGTGCATCACATGAAAAGGCAAACATCTGACATATAGCATCACCTATAATGCACAGTTAGCACATGCATACACACTGAGGGTGGGGCCTCACCAAGCAGAAGGGACATATGGTAAAGCTGAAGCTGCAGGGAGCCATCAGTCGCACAGCAGTAAAAGGATGTTGTTATTGGTTTTGCAAAATCAAATCATTATTTAAACCTTATTTGAAATGTTTGAATGAATTAATTATCTGCTGGATTTAACTTATCAAAATGAAATAATTCTCTAATTTACCAGTGAAGGTACTTTTCTGTTGGTCTAAGTAAATAACCCTGGTGATTTCATACTGATAGAATCACAATTGACATTGAATCTAACAAAATGTCATGGCTGCGTTCAGCCTGGACAAAATGTAGCAAGACGTTTATTTAAACTTAGATGGGGATTCATTGAACATGTGATATGCAAGCATTGTAACTATGGCAAATGAGGAGACCATTCTTGCCGCTGTTGTGGAGAAGGTAGATGACATGGATTTAAATACACGTTTGATACTTCACTTTCTGCAGACACTGTAACATCAAAACGCGTAAAGGTAGATGTGGAAACATGAGAAAGGAGTTGTGGAAATCCACTTGTACAAAAACCCTTAATGTAAGTTAAGATTGAAAAGCAACTTTAACAAATATATTGTCCAACATTCTCAGTTAGTGCTATACCAAGCAGCAGCTGCCGCATTTCAAGAAAACTTGAGAATCAATTGTGTGCCCTGCCTTTTATTTCTAAAGGGTTAACAGACATGTAGCGACTGTTTAGTCAATACCTCTGACACACCCACCAAATGAGAGAAAACGTCCCTTTAAATCCTGTTGCACACTGTTTCTGGAAAGCGTGTCGTTCAACCAGGAAACAATAACAAAACTTTGAGATCGAACGTGCCCCATCATCGGGAGGTCTGAATAAATGACTTTATAGGAACTGTAAGTTTCCAGTGTTTTGGGATCTTGTCAGAATATCTCCACAGCTGAATTAATTCAGGCAATTTTTTTTAAATCTGTCTCTCGCAAGCACTCCAACATTATGAGCATGGAATACTATGTCACTACTTTCACCCCTAGCACAGGTGAGAAGGGGTGATGTCGCTGGCCACTGGGGGGAAGGCTGGATCTGCTGTCGTGCTAACCATGTTCTGTATTGATTCTAGAGCTGCAACGATGAGTCAGTTAATCAATAACCTGGTTGGGAGAAAATTAATTAGCAATTTAAAAAAGACATGTGATGCATCCAGGTTCTCAAACGTAATAATTTGCTTCCTTTTTTCGAAGTAAATGAAATATTTTGTGTTGGGTGAACAAAAGATGTGTCAACCTATTTTTTGAAATAATAAAATGAGAATGTTAGTCCTGATTGATCGAACTAAATTTTCAGACCTTCACTTACACACAATTATCTGTTATTCGGTTACCGGGCAACATAACACCCAACTCCCCTGAGCATCATGGCCCAGCATACTTCTAACTGCTCTATACCCTGTGGTGGGGTCTAATGTCTCCTGGCTAATTGTTTTTAATAAACCACGGTTGCAGTCGTACAGATGAAGACCAGGTGACAGGCAGAGAGTGAGGTCAGGCATTTGGACTTAATGTTATATCTGAGAAATTTGGGGAGCCCTCTGCAAAAGGGACCTGGAGGGGGCCCTACATCGAAGTAAACTCAACTTAAAGAAACAAAACAGAAAAATATATATTTTTTAAATGTATTATCACACATTTAGACAAACCTCTACCGCTAGTAGCATGATGGGATTTTCCTAACATGGAGTCGTTGCAGTCCTCTGTATATAGCCGATCATAGAATTTAAGGGGGTTCCCATTGTTGTTGTTGTGGACTAACCTCAAACAGCCATTCTCAAGGCCACAGTCAACTGCCAGCTTTGATTACCTTGTTGAACGCCCCTGGTTACACTTATTTATTCGTTTTCCCAGAAGTAAAATTGTGGGATAATTGTGTTTTGTTTTTTTCTATCTTTATTCAAGAGCATGGTCTTTCAGTTTGAGAGCAGGACTTATTGATTTCACCTTCAGATTTTGTAATGCTGCTCTCACTCAAATAACCCCTGCTTATGTTTACATTAGAGCTCAAACTATGCACTTGCACCCAGATATTTTGCCCTGTTTATTAAATGTCTGCTCTCTGACTACTCCTCTGCTCTTGGATTATTTTTCTGCGCTTTGATTTTTGTCTGTTTTTAATAAAGATAAGTAATAAAAAAACATAACTGCTGAATTTATTTTCCAACTGTCTTTAGAAGGCCTGTGCAAGACACTGAAATAGCCAAAAATATCAGTTGTTGGATAACTGATTGATACCTGAGAGGGGGACCCAATCAAGTTGGTAGTCATGTCTGTGTGCTGCAACGCGACTCAGCTGGAGTTTGTGCTAATGTCTGTTCCACTCGCTGATCTAGTCGACCTGCATTGTTGCTTCTTGTGTTTGCTAGAAGTTGGATCCAAAATACTGGCAGGAAGACAACGTGCATATACGTGTATATGTGGCAGCACTTATATAAAAAAAACACACAAAAAGCAGACACACACCCTGAAAGATATGCATGTCATGCAGTCTTACACATTTAAAGCCTGTGGCATTAAGGAAGCAACACTTGTGTTCAGGCAGAGCTTGTGCTTGTTTGCATGTATCTGCATTGGTGAAGTGGAAAAACACACCTCACTGCTACACCAGAGGCAGCACGAGGAGTGAAACAGACTCTGGCAAACACATGGTCCAGCTTAATTTCACTGGACTGCTGCTGCTGCTGTCGGGCACAGACGCACAACTGTTTACAATTTACTACAACTTCCAGTGGGAAAACTGACAAAGAACTAAACAAACTAATACAGACATTAGCACTGCAACAACAGTGCTGGGAAAATGGTGAGGACGAACCACAGACGTCAGAAGTATCTTCATGAAGCTAAGCTGAAAAGCGTGGTGACTTGTCTCAGTGGAACATGTTGGGAGCCGACGGTGCCAACATAAAGGGACATTTCCTGTGCCTTGTGCTTTGTATGTTTTGCTGTGAATGAAAGCAGGCACCTCAGGGCCCTGAGGCTGTGGGGAAACAGATGAACCTGATGGAGGCAGAGCAGATGGAGTGCACTTCCTCCTCTTCCTCATGATTGTACAATTGCTTCCACAGAACAGAAATCAGCTAGTTTCAGAGGTTCAGACAGCTTCTATTGGGAAAGAATGAAGACTCAACCCCAGCTAGGTGATATTATCCCATCTGCTGGTCAGTCAGACTGTGTTAGCAATGTGTCACGCTGTCAGTAGTCCTCCCCAATCACGAGGTATGAAACCCCATTGATCCATCGGCTGATTGATGAGGACACCGTCCTCCAGCAGAGAGATTCCATTGATTTGAGGTTGATTTAGGGCGTAGCCACAGGGGTTCATGTGTACCACGACCAGCAGGATATCTCACCTCCCACCTGCATGGTCATGTTTGGCCTCCAGCAGATGCCTTGCTTTATCATGTGCTTTGCGATCTCCTTCAAATGTGCTATATCTGAGTACGAGTCAGGACGGCTTCCCCACATGGAATGTCCCTAATTAGACAGATCATAAAAAATGACTTTGACCTAACTCCACAACCCCTAGTCACTCTTGTTGTGACATCCTGAAAACTGATCCACTCTAATAAGGAGTACCATGAGTTATTTTAACAATGCGCTCTGTATAACGAGCACATATGAAACTTGGCAAGCCTTCAGCTTGTTTACCCCTGTGCTCACAACCCAGCGAAAACACTGTGTGCCTGTGCACACACTCAACTGGATGAGTCAAAAGAAACAAGAAACAGAAAAGTGTTGACTGACAGGCGGAGAGCGTGGGAGGAGGTCCAGGTCATGTTACCCTGATTGGCATGCATCAGTATGACAGTTACAGTAAAGTAATGTATGGGCTTCAGCTGCTGGGCGGTGTAAACCCATCCAGAGAAATGTGGGGTAGTGGCTGGTCACATAATGACACCACATGGTTCAGATAACAACGTGGAGGATCAGCATGGTGCTCTCATGTCATAGGTTACTAAAAAGTGAGAATAAACTGAGACCTTAACTTGTAGTATACATTATAGCAGACTGTGAGAGAGTGTGCGATCTGTGGAGAGACTTTGCAGAAGTAATGCATGTTTAGTTGAACACATGGCTTTTGTCTATTTGGATTGTTTGCTGTGAGGACCACTTAAAGGCCAGTCATGTTCTAATCTTTATGACAAACAGGATATCAAAGAGAAACCACATTTCCCAGGTGATATTGTAGCTCTGCTTCTGTGTTTTAAAAGTTCTTCCCTATGTTTTCTTTGTTTTACAACTACAATGTTCAGATCCCCCTGTATACAACACCCACAGGAAAGTGAGTATCTACTCACCTCAGAGTGCAGAATGATTTCTCCTGCATATTCATTTCTTACCTTGATCTTCTCTGTCATGGTGAATCTCAGCTTGTGGATGAAGGGGTTTCTTCCCACTCTGGAGGGGCGACTGCCTGACAACTTCATGGCCGACAAACCTTCACACAGAGGGGGCGAGGTGTGTCCACTATGTCTCGGGGTGTTACGCGGTCCTCTGCAGCGCTCACTCCAGCTTCCTCTCCCCGGAGCAGAGGCACTGATGCTGGACGAGGAAGCAGACGCGCTCCGTCACCATCCACCAACAGCATCCGGTGGTGACTTTCAAAATAAGATTCCCGTGTCTCGCACATAGAGTATATAAAAAGGTTTTGGATCAAGGTAATAGATCTCAGCGTTCATTTTTTATTTTATTATTTTAGGGTCACATTGAAAAGGTAATTTAGCCATGATATTATATCTGCATAATGTAGTGTGTATTATGTGTGTTATATAAAACAAACACAAAATAAAACTGTGGGGTTTTGGGTCAGGGGTGGACCAAAGGGCGGGGCCAGGGGGGCTATGGTCCCGCCTCTAAAATCTGACTGGCCCCTGAAATGCCCCTGTCTTGATTGTAATATTTTTTTGAAATAAACTAGTCACTTAACAACAATAGCCATAAAACTAAATATGACATCATCTGTGTCTCAATCCAGGTGCAGCATCCTCCTAAGGTTGCATTTGAAGAACAATTGCATCAACTAGACTGTCCCATTTCGAAGGCTCTTCTAAAATGACTGACAAATGCCAGAGAATCAAGGGCTCAATAAGGTGGATCCTTCCCAGTCCAACCTATTCTAGGATTCATTGTGCTTTATTGATTAACCGGTTTTTAAGAGGATATGGCACCTGCAAGCTTCAAGACCTCAAACGCTTGAGAATCACGCTTTGACTCAACCTAACAGCTAATGGTACGCATTTTTAAAAAAAAATAAGGGGCATTAAAACTTTCTTGGCATGTCCAACTGCAGCTCAACAATGGTGGGACAAGCTGGTGATGCTGATCAATGAGACTAGCTGTCGACCAGACTGTCTCATTTCCGTTTGACCTTTGCAGTTCCTGAATTGAGGCACAGCTATAGTGTTAATAAATTGTTGGTGCTCTCATGCACAATGTGCTAAAACAAGAAGCAATACTCAAATTATAATGAGTTGTGGTTTTTCTCAAATCTAGTGAACAAGGAAACACAATGTATACCTTATTGAATCAGGAAATGTGAATCACTGACAAAACTTCCTCAATGTGCAATTGTGCTCACATTGTCCCCCACATTTCTCATGGTAACATTTGTGTTAAGATGGACAAAATGCTTTTTGCACTTAAATACACCTGATTCCATTTGTGCAGCATCTAGTCACAGGTGTGTCTAGTATTTTGTCAATCCTATTTGTTTCAATAAGGTGGAGGGTAAATATAAATAAAACCTCTCTTTACAGGAAGAGAGGAACAGTGTGGCTAATAAAGTAAGAGCACGTTTTTTTTTATGAGAGTAATTATGTGCCATGATCCTGTGATAAAATCAGCAAGTTGATCTCAAATCCACTGAATTCATCAAGAAGAGGGAGGGTTGTTTAAGGAAGTGCTTATTTTCTACATGACAGCGACTGCTCACTTAAAACAGACTTTGTTGTCTTATAACCACAGACGACAGATTTACATTTGGGCCGACTGGTTCATCAACTTCACAGCAAATATGCATGTGTTCATCTCACAAACCTCTAGGTACTAAGCTGCTCACTGAGTTGTAACTACTAATGATCCCTGCTGAACTTTGGTAGTTAATTCAAGGGGAGAAAACTCTCTTACTGACTCGTAACAGAATGCTGCATGTAGGATAAGATCTCTCGCTCTCTCTCTCTCTTTTATTGTGTGTTTGTCAGGTGCTTCAGTGGAATTCCATTGAATAATAGCAAATATGTGCTCTCTGAAATCAATACTCAGATGAAACAACAAAGTATACTTGCAAATTCTCCAGATGTTTTAAATTGTAACTCCTTCAGCAAATATTAAGAAGAACTATTTTTGCAGGGTGGCAGTTTCAGTCTCAGTATTTGTTGCCAAACACATTTCAAACCAGACAGGTTTCTATGGCTGCTTTGTTTTCGTGTCACAGTCTGTCAGTGTTGCTGTGTGCATTGTGCTTTCTCTGGCTTTCAGAGGTAACACAATTGGTGTGGCCATAGAGAGAAACAGATAGATTTTCAACAATGCAAGAAGAGAAAACCTTCAACAGATGATTCTCTTGTGTTTCTTCTGTTAGGATGAATACTGATTTGAGTCAACCAGAGGATGATAGGGACAATGTATGAAGGGTAACACTGGTTAGAAAGAGGGCATCAAAGAGACATTTGTGTATTTCAAAAGCAGGCTAGATCCTGTATGAATGTAGCAAAGACTTTGGCTCCCTCATGTGGAAGACTGACATTCAACAGGCGAATACTCAACTGAGGAGCTAATTTGCAGATCCTTTGACAATATTCAGATAAGCTAGTACCCAACAACTTGTGGTGCATGAAATATAACATATTGTTTCAAATAAAAAAAGATATAATAAGTCAAGCAGCTGTCTGTAGAAATCTGAACTACATACACCTGTATTTTCAAGGCTTTGCAAACTGGACCTTTTTATTTACTGACACTTAGGAGGCTTAATATCATATAAAATGTTTCCCTTGTAAAATGTGCAGGAGGTTAAAGGAAATCCTGGTTCACAAAATGTCAGAATTCTGTTTCTTCACAGTGATAAAATACGTATTTTTGACCATTAGAGGGAAACAGAGTGAAAAAGACTATAAAAGATATTCAGCCAAACAATTTATTATAACAGCACAGTTGTTTTGATTGTTCACAATTTCAAAGCAAATTTTCAAACCTCCATCAACATTTTAGCCCTGCCTCTGCTTGTGTCTTGGATTTGTCTTGCAGAACACAAACAAATGTCCCCTTCGTCGAACAAAGAAACAGTCTTTGCAACGCCTCTTCAGGGCAGACTTGGTTTTCATTCCAGCGGAGGGCTGGATGCAGGGAAGATGCCGACACTGTCCCAACAAAGATGGTCCACATTGAGCGGGGGAGCCAGTCGAGGGAGGCTGGATGGAGCAGACTCTGGCTGATGAAAGGAGTAGGGAGCGGGGGGCTGCAGTGAGGGTGCAGAGACATCTGTAAGCACTAGCTGCCGGTGAGGACAAGCTCAGATTTAAGCTGCTCATCTGGGCCACTTGGCGAGACAGAGAGGCAGCCAAGTGCTTTAACAGCAGGGGCATCATGGTGTCGAAGGCTGCAAAGAGGAGAAGATAAATAATTCAGATGCAATTACTGTTGCAAAATATATCAACATTTTTGATATAAGACTCTCTGTTAATCTGAGGTTTGCTTAATACATATAGTGGTGTAGAGCTAAAATGATTATTCGAGCATTAGTCCTTGATCACAGAGAAAGCCGTTAGTTTCTCAGGTTCCAGCTTCTCAAATGGGAAGATATGTTGCGTCTCGATGTTACATATTATAATAAACATAATATCTTTGGGTTTTGGTAAAACATTCAGTACATTTGAAGAAACATTCTCTGGTCAAGGGTATGGACAAATATATAAAGATAGATAGATGTGAATGTGTTAAAGGGGTAACATCTGGGGCATTAATATAATTAGGAACTGAAACATGTAGCTCAATGTACAAGTTAAAATTTTTTTGAAAAATAAGGTGATACGCTTTTATACATAACCAATCAAATTAATACTTTTTATAACGGGACGGTGTCATAAGCTTTAGCTTCAGCCTACACCTTTAACATCTTTATTTATTTGTTATGCCCTTATTTACTTTGTTGTTTATTGCAAACTGTCTGGTGGAAATTGAATATGTGGATCAGAATGAATTGATATATTACCAATATAACAGAGCCACAATGAATCATTACAAAATGTACATGATATGATCCAAACTGCTACGTAGTCTGATTATTACAGCATTAATACACTTACAAAGGGTAAACAAAGTGTCACGTTTAAAAGCTGCTATCTTCCTTCCCTGTGCAGTGAACACATGTCAATACCACTGCCCGGTGTTACTGTAGCTTAGCTGTGGGACATGCCAAGGAGACTAGCATGTGCTAACCTGCTAGCGCCAAAGACAGACATTAAAACCACCGAAACCTCAATATTCGACATGACTCGATCTTTTCATTAAATGCAGAGGACGTGAACAAACCTGTTAGATATTCGCTGGGTGTTTAAAAGTGGTTTATAGTCACGAATGTTGCAGTTTTAATAGCAACACTACAGCTGCTGTTCATCCTTGTGGGCATAGAACTGCTTCCGGTTTTCGATAACGCAGGGGTATATTGTGCCCTCGGTTGCGCCTGTCAGACAATTTCCCTTTCTTAATTTATATAAATAATGTATATAGTGGCGTTATAGAATCATTTATATGATAAAGATGAGGACAAGACGTTATCTTCAATAATAAATAACTACATATGAGGCCAGAGAAAGCACTCAGTGCCTGTGAGACAAAACCCGGGTTAGCTAATTTCACTATATCTAAGCCTCCCTACAGGGCATTCTGGGAAATACAGGCTGGTGTAAACATGGCTGCCGCAGTGGTCAGAGTTCTGTCCTTCACTAAAAATGCTAAGGTGCTAGCCCCGGCTGTGAGGCTCAGTGCTGTGCCTGTTCGCAGATACAGTTTAGAGGTGTCCAGCACCGGGGAGGCCATCACTCACACCGGCCAGGTAAGGATTAAAGCCGCCATTTCTCTACTATTGGTCACACCGGGTGGCCTGATGCTAGCAGACATTAGCCTAGCGTTTGCGTAGGTAGCGGGGTTAGCGTGTCAGTTCATTCCTCCAACATTTGAGTGTGAACCATTGATTACAACAGTAACAGTTAGTAAGCACAGTTCATGCTTTAGCTCCCTGATTCAGCCCGTCAATCACAAGTCGGGAGCTAAATGTTGTGTTTAGAAGTGTGTTATGTGTTGTCTTTAACTCCAAGTGTTTCCCTCGCAGGTGTTTGACGAGAAGGATCCCAGGAGAGCCAGATTCGTTGGCAGACAGAAAGAGGTATGAAGCAACTCACATTACTTTAATCAAACAATCTCATTGAGACTGTTGATCTCTCTCTCTCAATAGAGGTCCAATAACAGGAGGTATTCATACTCAGCAAATACAGTTTTAATGGATAGAAGCAACACAACAAAGACTTAAAACTAAGCAAACTTAATAACAGGTGGCAGCTATTTTCAATGGAAATGTTTATTGATAC